AACCTAACCCTAACCCTAACCTAACCCTAACCTAACCTAACCTAACCCTAACCTAACCCTAACCTAACCCTAACCTAACCTAACCCTAACCTAACCCTAACCTAACCCTAACCTAACCCTAACCTAACCCTAACCTAACCTAACCTAACCTAACCTAACCTAACCTAACCCTAACCTAACCTAACCTAACCCTAACCTAACCTAACCCTAACCTAACCTAACCTAACTGACCGTGTTGTTCTCGATGAAGGCAGAGTAGACGATGATCTTGTCGGGAAGACCATTGACGCAGACTCCCGGAGGTCCTTGAGGGTTGACGAGCTCACCGTGCTCGTTGACGAGAAGAGGCAAGCGATTGTCCACCTCAAGGTGCCATTGCAAGATCCTCACCAAGAACCTCAGCTTTGTCGAAGGATTCTCGTTGAATTCCTCTATCGTCGAGAACTTCAGGGTGCCGCCCATGGAGGGCAGGTCAGGATGGGTCAGGCCTCTACGCAACGCCAGATAAAATTGCTGAAGAATTGAGTGTCAGTAGGTGTTTGGTGTAGAAACTCCGTCTAAGCCGGAATGCGTGCACACACTCTGGCTGAGTGGCCCACAACGTCAGTCAATGTGTTCGAGTGTCACTCATCCGTCCAGGATGGAATGCACACACAACCCTTTGACCTCGTCATGCCAGCAGGGAGAGCAGCCAGGTGTTCACTCCTGGACGGAATGCGCGCACTCTGACGAATTGGGCGTCTACGGCTTGCATGTGCTGGGGACGAGCATTCCGTCCTGGACGGACAGACTGCCCGCCCAACCATTTTCACGGCCCGCTCCATGCCTCTCTGCCGCTGTTCCGTCCTGGACGGAATACCTGCGTCCGCAAGATATTGACAACCTTGCGGTGCGCCCAGTTCCGTCCAGGACGGACAGCGACCTGCAACAGATATTGAAATCATTTTTACTCACCTCCCCGTACGCCCGAAGACTCTTCCCATTCTCGACCTCCTTCTGCACACCTTCCATGATCGCCTCGACCTTCTCCATCTCATCGGCAGGCAACACCAGCAGCAACTTGTGATGCTCGTAGGGAGGCAGGCCAATAATCGGTTTCTTGTTGTTGTCCTCAGAGTGGATCGTCCGGCGAACCACCATTCCCGCGAACCGCTTCCGCATCACCATGATCCACTTCCCACTCACCAGCGCCAGCTCCGACTGACCTTGCCCGTCCTCTCCGTGAGAGAATTTCTTCACCGCTTCTAACGCCTCTGCCAGTCGACGTTGCTGTCGATCCTTCCGAGCAGCGCGATTCACTTCTCGTCCCATGTCCTTGTACTCCGTTTCGCCGTCGAAACCTGGGACACCCAAGATCAACGCTACATGCCACAGGTCCTGCACGTATATGTCTCAAGTCAGCTACCTCCATTGGCTCAGCACATCAATGCTGAATACGCACCTGTGGCTTCGTCTGCACTGGAGTCGCAGACATCCCAACGTAGAACGTGCAACACTCTCTCAGCTTCTTCGCCGCGAAGAACGCCGTCTTGATATTCCGGTTCTGGTGGATCTCGTCCCACGCCCCAACCAGGAACCGCTTTGTGAAGATCAACGCTGCCGGATTCGCTCCAACGATATTGATCGGACCCATCGGCTGCTTCCCACTGAAGCCCAGCTCTCGGCCATCCGAACTCACAGCCTGCTAACCTGTCAGCCTTCATCCTCTAGTACCACACCTTGAATGTACTCACCGTCGCCGTCGCAATGACCAGTCGTCGAATCTGAGGGAGCTTCGAGAAGTCCCAAAACTTCGTCCAGAACTCCGGTCGCCCCTTCAACGTCCCGTCGTAGATGAAGATATCGAAGGCCCCTCGCCTAAGGTACCGTTGGCACTCGTTCTCTACCTGCGCACGCAACGAGAACGGCACCACCAGAACATGTCCCAGGTCGGGGATCTCAGCGTTCCCCGCAAACGTCTTGCCTCCTGTATCCATATTCAATACACAAAACATTAGCGCCGACCAATGGACACACAAAGATCCACACTTACGAAACCACCCAGGATACTCGTTGCGTTTGGCGTAGAAGGAACGGTAGTGCGCCAGCATCGCCATAACCCCTATAACCTGCAACGTCTTCCCAAGGCCAACCTCATCCATCAACATTAGCGGACGTCCCTCGAATGCATTCTTCAGCATCTTGAAGATCCCAATCAGCTGGTGCCACTTTGGTGACAACTTCACCCGACCGTCGTTCTCGCCCTCGACGTAAGGACGCGCGAACCACGCTGCATCCGTCCACGGTGTCTTGACCCCATTCTCGTCGATGAATTCGTTGAAGGACGGGAACCCCTCCTCCTCCAGGCCCAGTGCATTCCGCACGTCCCTCTCGCTCCAGCCCTGGTAGTCCTCCGTCCCCGACTCCCATTCGATCACCACCGACTCGTCCACATTCATCATCGGCACTCCCGCCCCCTCTCCATCCAGAACATCCAACTGGACCTCCAGCTCCCGCTCCACCTCAGCGATGTCGTGGTCCCCAGCCAGCCTCAACAACGCCTCCCGCAACGCCTTGCTCATAGCTATCTCACAATGTCAGCATCAAGTCCAACAGCTCTACACACAGGTCTCACTCACTTTCTGTCGACTTCCCCTCTTCATCCACTCCCAAGCACGCCCGAATCTGGCTCAATCGCTCCCGCTGCTCCTCCAACTCCTTCTCAGCCGCCTCGTCGCCGAACATCTTGTACAGCCGCATCAGCTTCGAGCTGTCCCTCAAGTACTGCTTCAACTTCGCCGCTGTCACCTCCCCTGCATCCAGCTCTGTGTAACAATCACGTAAGTAATCAGTCACTCTCCAATCCACAGCATCCAAGTGTACTCACCTCCAAATGACATCTTCACCTTTGCCTTGATCTCCTCCAAATCCTTCACATCCTTATTGACCGCCTTTGACATCGTGTTCCACGCCGCCGCCAGGATGATGTTGGCAACTCCAATGACGCTCGTATGCATGATCGTGTAGTTCGACTGCTTCGTGCAGATGTCGGTACCCCACAATGCCTCAGCCAGCTCTTGTCGAGTGTCGTCCAACATCGCCGCCCCCATGTCTGGCAGCTGCACATCACCCAATGTCAGCCTTCATCCTTTTGTCACAATAGGTAAGTCGTACCGTTCGTTCTCCATGACGCCGAAGCAGCGACGCCCGGTCTCTCTCATTCTCCTTCAACACCTTTCCAACGATGGCGTTGATCTTCCACGCCTTCAACCCAGCTCTGATCGCTACCGTCCACGTCGCCCGGCCTGTAGCATGAGTGTCCGTCATCCGGGTCTTCGTGAACTCCTGGCGCTTCGAGGCGAGTGGCATCGAGCAGAACGCATCCACGAACGCCTTCACCTGCGCCCGAGCAGTCTTGTCCCACTTGAAGGGATGCTTCTCATCGTCCGGCCAATCTTCAGCCCAGGGAGCGCGAGTGAACCCCGTATGCTTCTGCCAGACGATGAACGACCACGGCGCATCGGGCACCGGCGGTTTCATCTCCCGGAAGACTCTCGTCATCTCCAGCAGACTGGAGGGGACAGTGAACGAAGGCATGTCGATTACGATTTCTAGATAGCAGTCTCAGCAGCAGTAGTAGCAATAGAGAATGTGGGGAAATCGAATCCTGTCAGACCCCTGCCCTTTTAAATCATCCCCTCACCGCCTCATGTCATAAGAAGCAAACTTTGCCATCATTCATGAGGCCGCCATTCATTTCAACACGCCATGCCGATCACGCTAAGCCCACTATCCCTGCAGGCAATCATATTACCCATCTTCTATTCTATCCGATGGCGCCCCGCCCACTCCATATCAGGCTAATTCCTTCACCTCATTACTCTCTAAACACCTCATTCCCAGCTTAACCGACTGCACCAGTCACCAACCATTCTTCCATTTATGTCATCCCGACGTAACAGTCTCAATATAGCTTGATCTCCGTCCTGGAAGGAACCGCGCATGCGGAAATCGCGTGGCTAATCGTGTGCTTGCCTCAGAACAGAAATTCCGTCCTGGACGGATTGCGCGCACCCAGCCATTCAGCGTCTCTTCATGAGGCCCATGTGTCCCCGCCTGTATTCCGTCCAGGACGGAATGCGCTCTTCACGCCGCTCTGCAATCACATGATCACCACTTTCCTGATCGGTCCGCCCATCTCGCTCCACGCACTCCGTCCAGGACGGAATCTTCGCACTCATGAATCGCTCTCACACATTCTTCAGTGCACGCATTCCCTCTTGGACGGAATCTCCTCTCCCTCTCATCCAACCTACTCTATACCCATCTTTCCACTGACACCTATCCTCGTTACATTTATTTACATTTCATTATTCATTCTTGTATCATTCACACTCAACGCAATATATATGTATCGCTCTTAAGAGACCCTGCATCTTTCCCCTAGAAGTATGCAACAATCAGATATGTGTTCAAGTGTCTAAGAGCCATTGACGGCCACAACGCTCTAGCTTTCTTATATGGGTAGATGAGAAAATGCTCATCGGCACGCTGTTTCCTGACAGAAACAGCGCACCGACAATCATTTTCTCATCTACCCATATATGCAAAACTCAGAATGCTATGGTCGTCAACGGCTCCCAGTCGCTCAACCAAATACTCTCATTCTTTCACACTTTTAAGGCAATCGATCAGTGTCTCTTATGGCACATACACTACATCATATTATCATACAGTGCATGTCCATAGTTCACTCCTCCTTATCCTTCACCCACACATAATCACTCATCATCTCCGCCCACGTCTCCCGCCACTCCCCCTCCCTCTTCACCACCTCCTCATTTCGCCTCACCAACGCCTTCAAGAACCTCCCCAATCCCTGCCGACTCTCCCCCAGTCGCTGAGTCTCCTCCCTCACCAACTGCGTAATCATACTCAACATCTCCAACCGCCATCGACATTTCCATCCCAACCGCCTGATCTCCACGCAATCCGGCTCAACCTCCCCATCCTCCAACTCCTCTATCATCTCCTCACACTTCTTCATCTCCCCCTTCATATCCCACAGCATCCACTTCAGCACCTTCATCGCGCACCAGTCCTCCACTGCACACTGTCGTCAGCTCGCCATTCATCCGCTCATAATTCCCAATTGTACTTACAGCCTCCAACCTCCAATCCCTCCTCATGTCGCGCCGGCTTCAACATGTTCTCCTCCGTCCACTTCTCGAAGGGCCCTAAACTCTCACTCATCAGTATTCTATACACATCTCATCCGCACACACAACTCACCTTCTTCCACATACCCATTCACCCGCCATCGAATGACAGGCAGATTCTCCATACACTCGTCAGCCCCTACTCCTTCCTCGTCAGTCCTTCTCTTCAAACCCTTCAACCAACTATCCATTCAAACTTACCGTCAATCCACAGTCGCCCCACAGCCTCTACAAACCCCTCCCCCCTCTTCATCTCAATACTCCCCATCATCTCGATCCCCCCCTTCTGTTTTCATCTCGTCATCTTCCCATCTCGCCACTCGGTCAATCTCTCAGTACTCACCTCCAATCGCTCACGCAGCACCCAATCGTTCTCCCACCAGTCGATCTCGTGCTTGAAGCAAGAATACGTCTCCATGATCGAGAGTCTGCGAACATGCCCTTCCTCTCATTCCCTCTTCATCTATATACTTTTTCTCTCCTTCTCTTCACATATTGTCTGCCGTCACTTTCTTCAAATACTCTAGTCTTCTTCACGTACGCCGTCATCAATGTAGCCTAGAATACATCCAATATATCCCTTCCATCATTCACGTTTAGCCTAGATCCTCTTCACCTCATTTACACTCCACTGCTAATCTCCTCGCCCATCATCACATCCTTCCTTCATTCGGTCTATTCCATCTTCGTCACATTTTTTCTCACTCGCAACTGCCGCATGTCAATTTAGATCAACGGCATTCTCATCATCCAATAAACAGTAACCTCATGCACACAGAATTCCCTCCAAGATGGAATGTATGCACCCAGCCCCACCGGAATCCCGTTCTCACTGCATTTACATCCATCTCCACAGAATTCCGTCCAGGAGGGAATCTCTGCACCCATCTCTTCGGCGCTTCTCCCACCCATGTCTGCCGCTCTCTCTTTCCGTCCTGGACGGAACGCTCGCCTCACACCACCGACGTCCATATGCCCCTGCCCACAACCACCGACCCTGCCCCACAGATGCCCAACCCTGCCCCCTAGCCGCCCAACCCTGCCCTCTAGCCGCCCAACCCTGGCCCACAGACGCCCAACCCTGGCCCACAGCCGCCCAACCCTGGGCCCTAGGCGCCCGACCCTACGTCAGCCCTAGGGTCAGACGAGAGTCCCCATAACTAACCTAAATCCACCACAACAGGCGCAAGGTACCATCCCATATAGTCTGTCAAATCTCCTCAGTTTCCTCATCCTCTCCATTATCTCCTCCTTTCCATCACTCTCAATCATCCTTATCTAGAACTATACTCACCATCAACAATCCTGTCTTGTGGTAACACCTTGACTTCACGAACGTCTGCAATTTCTGCCACGAATGGCCGTCCTGGCTCTGTCATCTCCGTCAGATTTCTCTATCACACCACAACGTCCTCATCCTCATCCCCATACCTTCATGCCAAATCTCAATTCTTATCATCGCGCACTCTGATGCCATCTCCGTTACACTGTACCTCCCAACAACCACATGTGGCCGTCGACGCTGTACCCGTATATAATGTCAGATATGTCTTTAAATGTATCCCATGTTTGATCATCCTACCAGTTCTTCTCCAGCGCTTCTGAACGTCCCAGTACTCGCCCGCCGTGGTAAGGAAGAGGTCATCATGGGAGATTCACAGTGAATTCCTTGCCCTCTCCATCTTCTGCCTTCATTATATACATACGTCCTCCAATGCCTCATGCTCCATGACAACCCACTGCACCATCATTGCCATTTCTTGTACGTACAATGACTTCTTAAATCCAATATCTTCCGCTTCCGTCCATCACCACCCATCATCTCAACACGGCAACTCCCGTGATCATTCCTACCTCTGACATCCCTTCCACTATCTCAGTCTCTCTACCCACTCTACAGTCCCCTGTGGCCATCCTCACTTCTTTCTGTACCGTGTCCATAGCTACCAAAATGGCAGCTCTTTCAACAAATCAGCTCTCCATAACTTCACAAAACACCTCGCCTTCATCCTCTTCTCATATGTGACCATCACTCGCATCACAGCACGGACCACATTTTCTCCCTTTCAAACCAGTCTGGGGACAGGAATGAACTGAAGCCTAGCAACTCATCAGCCATCGTGCATCAATCATCCCTGCTAACTTCACAAAATGCGTTGAAATCTGCGTGCGGATTCTATCGGTGATCTCTACGCCCTTTCTACGCAGCTCTCCATATGTCCCGTCACCATCTGCTCCGTCATCTATCACAATCCGCACACGGATTTCATCCTCCTCCATGAGCCCGCAACCATATCCCCACATCCATTTCAACAACCTGTCCAACCGTGTCCTTTATTACATAACGTCTCCCGCACCTTCATGTGGTCGTGAGCATCATTCATCATTCACTAACCCATCTCCTCCGCCTTCATCATCCTCTCCTTTTCTCTTCCTCCTCGCAGTAGTCTAGCTTCCGTCATGCAACCCATTCCTCACAATCATGACTCCATGCCCATCATCGACCCTGACTTCCACAGGCCCAACGTGAGCTCTCCTCATCTCTCATATTCATATCCATCCTCTCTCATGTCCACTCTATCCTTACCATCTCTCCAGACTCTCACCCGCTACCATTTCAATTCCTCCTGGTCTATTGATCGCAACTGGGAAGACCTCCGTCTCTCTTCCGTCGCCATCCGTGCCTTCATCTGGTCTCCCAGTCAGTCCTCATCTTCAATCATTCATTCCGGCATCCCATTCACCTCACTCGTCTCCCAGATGTAGGTTCCAACTCTATGCGCTTGACTCCCAATTGGCCCAACACCCTCATCTGCGATTCACTCCTCCTTCATACGTCATCTCCCCATTCCCTTCCTGTCCTCTCCATACTACTCTCATTTAAATCCCATCCATCCCTCACATTCTTTCATCTCAGGCAAGTTTGACGTCTACTGCCAGATGCATCCCATTCTCCCTGCCTCTCACCCACAGCCCATCGTACGCACCTGTATGTCCACTTCACTACTCCCTCCACCTCCGCCTTCTCACATCATCAATGAACAAAGACCATGAGGATGCCCGGGTCCATCTCCTCACCGCTTTCGCTCTCAACTTCAAAGATGCATATACTGAATTCGATGAGTTCGTTACCCGCTTTCTCAAGGGTCGCACATGGGCCTATCGTCACGCCGAAGAAGTTGGCTCAACTCTCTGGGAGAATGAATGTCTTCTTGGCATCCTCGCCGACTTCTGCACCTTCGTCGACAATGATCTCGACATCCTTCAGTCCATCGTCGTCGGCCTCGACGTCGCTATTCAAGACCTCCGCGACATCATATCTTTCCTTCGTGACATCCACGATGACTGGGATAATACCCTCGAGAAGCTCCTTCTGCATCACAGGTAAGTCCCAATACTCCCCAATACTCTTCTCATCTATATCAACTCTACCC